TTTGAATTTCTCTCTTCTTTGCTTCCCATATTACACTCTCTTGAATTTCTCTTTTCTTTGCTTCCTGTATGCCATATTACACTCTCTTGAATTTCTTTTTCTCTTCTTTGCTTCCTGCCATATTACACTCTCTTGAATTTCTCTTTTCTTTGCTTCCTGCCATATTACACTCTCTTGAATTTCTCTTTTCTTTGCTTCCTGCCATATTACACTCTCTTGAATTTCTCTTTTCTTTGCTTCCTGCCATATTATTACACTCTTTTGAATTTCTCTTTTCTTTGCTTCCTGCCATATTACACTCTCTTGAATTTCTCTTTCTTTGCTTTGCTTCCTGCTTCCTGCCATATTACACTCTCTTGAATTTCTCTTCTTTTGCTTCCTGCCATATTACACTCTCTTGAATTTCTCTTTCTTCTTTGCTTCCTGCCATATTACACTCTCTTGAATTTCTCTCTTCTTTGCTTCCTGCCATATTACACTCTCTTGAATTTCTCTCTTTGCTTTGCTTTACCTCTCTTGAATTTCCTCTTCTTTGCTTCCTGCCATTTATTTCTCTTTTTCTTTGCTTCCTGCCATATTACACTCTCTTTTGCTTCCTGCCAATTTCTCTCTTCTTTGCTTCCTGCCATATTACACTCTCTTGAATTTCTCTTTTCTTTGCTTCCTGCCATATTACACTCTCTTGAATTTCTCTCTTCTTTGCTTCCTGCCATATTACACTCTCTTGAATTTCTCTTTTCTTTGCTTCCTGCCATATTACACTCTCTTGAATTTCTCTTTTCTTTTTTTCTTTGCCCTGCCATATTACACTCTCTTGAATTTCTCTTTTCTTTTGCTTCCTGCCATATTACACTCTCTTTCTTCCTGCCATTTCTCTCTTCTTTGCTTCCTGCCATTCTCTTTTCTTTGCTTCCTGCCATATTACACTCTCTTGAATTTCTCTTTTCTTTGCTTCCTGCCATATTACACTCTTGAATTTGTCTCTTCTTGAATTTACTCTTTGAATTTCTTTTTCTTTGCTTCCTGCCATATTACACTCTCTTGAATTTCTTTTCTTTGAATTTACTCTTTTTCTCTTTCTTTGCTTCCTGCCATATTACACTCTCTTGAATTTCTCTTTTCTTTTGCTTCCTGCCATATTACAATTTCTCTCTTGAATTTCTCTTTTCTTTGCTTCCTGCCATATTACACTCTCTTGAATTTCTCTCTTCTTTGCCCTGCCATATTACACTCTCTTGAATTTCTCTTTTCTTTGCTTCCTGCCATATTACACTCTCTTGAATTTCTTTTTCTTTGCTTCCTGCCATATTACACTCTCTTGAATTTCTCTTTTCTTTGCTTCCTGCCATATTACACTCTCTTGAATTTCTCTTTTCTTTTTGCTTCCTGCCATATTACACTCTCTTGAATTTCTCTTTTCTTTGCTTTGCCATAATACACTCTCTTGAATTTCTCTTTCTTTGCTTCCTGCCATATTACACTCTCTTGAATTTCTTTTCTTTGCTTCCTGCCATATTACACTCTCTTGAATTTCTCTTTTCTTTGCTTCCTGCCATATTACACTCTTTGAATTTCTCTTTTCTTTGCTTCCTGCCATATTACACTCTCTTGAATTTCTCTTTCTTTTTTGCTTCCTGCCATATTACACTCTCTTGAATTTCTTGAATTTCTCTTTTTCTTTTTTCTTTTGCCCTGCCATATTACACTCTCTTGAATTTCTCTTTTCTTTGCTTCCTGCCATATTACACTCTCTTAATTTCTCTTTTCTTTGCTTCCTCCCATATTACACTCTCTTGAATTTCTCTTTTCTTTGCTTCCTGCCATATTACACTCTCTTTGAATTTCTCTTTCTTTTGCTTCCTGCCATATTACACTCTCTTGAATTTCTTTTTCTTTGCTTCCTGCCATTACACTCTTGAATTTCTCTTTTCTTTGCTTCCTGCCATATTACACTCTCTTGAATTTCTCTTTTCTTTGCTTCCTGCCATATTACACTCTCTTGAATTTCTCTTTTCTTTGCTTCCTGCCATATTACACTCTCTTTGAATTTCTCTTTTCTTTGCTTCCTGCCATATTACACTCTCTTAATTTCTCTTGAATTTCTCTTTCTTTTTGCTTCCTGCCATATTACACTCTCTTGAATTTCTCTTTTCTTTTGCTTCCTGCCATCTTTTTTCTTTTCTTTGCTTCCTGCCATATTACACTTGAATTTCTCTTTCTTTTGAATTTCTCTCTTTCTTTTGCTTCCTGCCATATTTACACTCTCTTACACTTTCTTGAATTTCTTTTCTTTTGCTTCCTGCCATATTACACTCTCTTTTTTTCTTTGAATTACACTCTCTTGAATTTCTCTTTTCTTTGCTTCCTGCCATATTACACTCTCTTGAATTTCTCTTTTCTTTGCTTCCTGCCATATTACACTCTCTTGAATTTCTCTTTTCTTTGCTTCCTGCCATATTACACTCTCTTGAATTTCTCTCTTCTTTGCTTCCTGCCATATTACACTCTCTTGAATTTCTCTTTTCTTTGCTTCCTGCCATATTACACTCTCTTGAATTTCTCTTTTCTTTGCTTCCTGCCATATTACACTCTCTTGAATTTCTCTTTTCTTTGCTTCCTGCCATATTACACTCTCTTGAATTTCTCTTTTCTTTGCTTCCTGCCATATTACACTCTCTTTGCTTCCTGCCAATTTCTCTTTTCTTTGCTTCCTGCCATATTACACTCTCTTTCCTGAATTTCTCTTTCTTTGCTTCCTGCCATATTACACTCTCTTGAATTTCTCTTTTCTTTGCTTCCTGCCATATTACACTCTCTTGAATTTCTCTTTTTCTTTCCTTCCTGCTCTTGAATTTCTCTTTTCTTCCTGCCATATTTCTCTTGAATTTCTTTTTCTTTGCTTCCTGCCATATTACTCTCTCTTGAATTTCTCTTTTCTTTGCTTCCTGCCATATTACACTCTCTTGAATTTCTCTTTTCTTTGCTTCCTGCCATATTACACTCTCTTGAATTTCTTTTTTCTTTGCTTCCTGCCATATTACACTCTCTTGAATTTCTCTTTTCTTTTGCTTCCTGCCATATTACACTCTCTTGAATTTCTCTTTTTTTGCTTCCTGCCAATTTCTCTTTTTCTTTGCTTCCTGCTTCCTATATTACACTCTCTTGAATTTCTCTTTTCTTTGCTTCCTGCCATATTACCTCTCTTGATATTACACTCTCTTGAATTTCTCTTTTGCTTTGCTTTCTTAATTTCTCTTTCCTGCCATATTACACTCTCTTGAATTTCTCTTTTCTTTGCTTCCTGCCATATTACACTCTCTTGAATTTCTCTTTTCTTTGCTTCCTGCCATATTACACTCTCTTGAATTTCTCTTTTCTTTGCTTCCTGCCATATTACACTCTCTTGAATTTCTCTTTTCTTTGCTTCCTGCCATATTATACTCTCTTAAATTTCTCTTTTCTTTGCTTCCTGCCATATTACACTCTCTTGAATTTCTCTTTTTCTTTTGCTTCCTGCCATATTACACTCTCTTGAATTTCTCTTTTCTTTGCTTCCTGCCATATTACACTCTCTTGAATTTCTTTTCTTTTTCCTTTGCTTCCTTCCTGCCATATTACACTCTCTTGAATTTCTCTTTTCTTTGCTTCCTGCCATATTACACTCTCTTGAATTTCTCTCTTCTTTGCTTCCTGCCATATTACACTCTCTTGAATTTCTCTCTTCTTTGCTTCCTGCCATATTACACTCTCTTGAATTTCTCTCTTCTTTGCTTCCTGCCATATTTCTCTCTTTGCTTTTTCTTTCTTCCTGCCATATTACACTCTCTTGAATTTCTCTCTTCTTTGCTTCCTGCCATATTACACTCTCTTGAATTTCTCTCTTCTTTGCTTCCTGCCATATTACACTCTCTTGAATTTCTCTTTTCTTTGCTTCCTGCCATATTACACTCTCTTGAATTTCTCTCTTCTTTGCTTCCTGCCATATTACACTCTCTTAATTTCTCTTTTTTTTGCTTCCTGCCATTTTACACACTCTTGAATTTCTCTTTTCTTTGCTTCCTACCATATTACACTCTCTTGAATTTCTCTTTTCTTTGCTTCCTACCATATTACACTCTCTTGAATTTCTCTCTTTGTTTCTTACCATATTACACTCTCTTGAATTTCTCTCTTTGCTTCTTACCATATTACACTCTCTTGAATTTCTCTCTTCTTTGCTTCCTGCTATATTACACTCTCTTGAATTTCTCTTTTCTTTGCTTCCTCCCCTATTACACTCTCTTGAATTTCTGTTTTACTTGCTTCCTGCCATATTTGACTTGCTTGCGTTTAATGCAAAAAATTAAAATTAATCTTTTTTATTTAATAATCCAAATGAACCCTTGGGCAAACACGGACATGATAAAAAATAACAAACATAAATTATCTACAAACATAAACGTATAAAGAAACATCTCGTGTCTGATTTATTTACAACCTTAAATTATTATCAGTGCCATAAAGTGCAGAGTAAATATTTTATACTTAAGAGTTTTTTGTTTTATTTTTTATAATCCACTTGATTTATTATATAAATAAAAAAGAATCAATCTTTTGATTTATTCGAGATAAAAAGAAGTTTAGTAAAAGATAACATTCATCATGTGCGTTGTGGGAATCATCTTCCCAACGAGTAAGTTGCTCATCTTCATCTTTTTATATTTCTGCTATAAACTGGATGTTTGTGCAAAAGCGCAAAATCTCAGCAAGCGGTAACAAAACAATGAGAACAATGGCAGCACAGAACAAGAGACACTGAAATTTTCAATGTGGTCCCGCCCACTTCGAGAAAAGTAACGTAAAAAACATACATAAGCCAGTGAAGAAACAACATAAAAGAGAACCATTTTTTCCACATACTAAAAAGCGTGGAAGCTTGGCTGCCCCAACCGCTCTCAGGCAACCATGCATACATCCAGGTGCCAACAACAACCCCATCATCCCACAAACTGAACGTTTTCTCATTTTCGACTAACTTCCCTAGCGAAGATTCCAGTTTGCGGCTTTGTTACTTCTAAATGATAATCACCGCCTGATTCATCATCATAATCATGATAATCATAATCAGCGGGGGGGGGATGGTAAATAGAAAGGGCAAAGAAGAAAAGTAAAAGGGAGTCGAGCGAGAATTTGATGAAAGACAAAGACAACGAAGAGAACGGAATTTGAAAAGAGGACGAGTTCAAAAAAAAAAAAAAACGGAAAAGCGAACAGTGAAAAATGAAGAAAAAAGATAAAAAGTGACTAAAACTATAAAGGAAATATATCGAAAAGTAATAGAGTCGTAAGGCAAGAAAAAAGTAAAAGGAGGAAAAACGGAAAAGTGTAAAATGGAAATAAAAAAAAAAGGAAAAAGAAAGAGAATATAGCAAAAAAAGAAAGAAAAAAAATATAGCAAATAGTAAAATAAAGATAGGGTGAAAAAGTGCAATACAGTAAGAGAAAGCGGAAAAAAGATCGAAGAAATTGAAGAATATATAACAAGAAAAAAAAGCAAAGAATAAAGAAAGGAAATAAAACTTAAGAACAATACGATAAGAAGAAAGGGATTGATTAAAAAAGGAAAAATGAGCAGTATAGCAAAATGCAAGGAAAAGAAGGACAGATTAATATGTCAAGTAATATGGTAAGAAACAAATAAAAGAAAGAAAATGATAGAAAGCGCAGCATGGGAAGAATCATGGTAAAGAAAGAAATGAGAGGAAAAGTGTAATATATTACGGGGAAAGTAAAAAAAAAAAGAAGAAATTGAAAGAATGAACAACATTGGAAGAAGCAAATAAAAGAAAGAAAATGGAAGAAAGAGCAATATATCAAGTAACGTGTAAAAGAATGTCGATGGAAGAAAAGTGCAATGTCTCAAAAAAAGGAAAAGATAAAAATAGCAGAACGCGTAAGACACAAGCAAAAGAAAAGAAACAGAAGAAAAAAGAAATACGGCATGAAGAAAATAGAATAAAAATCGAAGAAATAGCATTATGGCAAAAATCAAGGAAAAAAATCTATTGAAGGACAGAAATTTTTACAATGTTATTTCAATCGCTCCTTCAATCTTAACCAATTTGTAATTGAGTACTTTGTTTATTTTCTTACAAAATCGACATGCCAGAAACTTGCTGTGTCAGCAAAACTCGCCCAGGAACAAACAGCTTCAAACTTCCCTTTAAACATTCATTTCTTAATTTATATGTTTCCCTATTTTATAAGCGTTTTTTTTTATTGATTTAATCTTATAATCTGAAGGTTTTTTGCGGATTTGTATTGAGTAAAAATATTTTTTCTTTTGTAAATTACGCTCGGTAAGAGTACGTCATTTCATTTGTAAATAAGTTTTAAGAGCAGAACAATAAAGTTTTCAATAGATACAGAGGCATTTTTATACAAATGGTAATTTCTTGATTCTCATAAGTTACGTATACCTTTGGAAGATCGCATAGATTAGATACTGTTTTATTTACACCATGCTAATCTACTATATCTATGCTTGAATAAAATAACGTTTAAATCATTTGAATTTTGGGAATTAATTACTTTCATTATTCCTCTTGACTAGTTATTCTTTACAGTTGAATTTTATCACAATGTTCAGGTACTTTTGATAATGCGCGCCAATCTAAATTCATGAAATCAGTGAAACCGTGCAAGTATCCAGAAAAATAATCCACAGAATAAGGCCTTACAATTTATGACTGCGATGCAAGCAACAAAACGAGCAAACCTGAAACCGGAATCCATAGATGTTGCACACCCTTTGTACAGTTCCAATTTGGTACCATCGAAAAGAGTCCAAAGGTCAACACTTCTCATCCGATGCGAAGTTGATTTTGCTGTGCCTATTTTGCACAGCAACTTTGACATCGCATCGAATGAGAATGTTGACCTTTGAACCGCGCTTTTTATCAAAATCAAAACAGAAACTTGTTTCATGGAGAGAAGAAAAAAGTGGATGGCATTTTGGGGGAAAAAATGAGAGAAAAATAAATAGTAAGTTTGAGAAAAACGAAGGATAAACTGAATAGAATATTTCAAAATTAGTAGATAGTAGATAGAACATTAGAAAAAAACCCACAGGTAAAAGTGGACAGAACGACAAAAAATATTTATCCTTATATTTAAAATATTTAATATATATTAAAAAATATTTAATATATATTAAAAAATATTTAATATATATTAAAAAATATTTAATATATATTAAAAAATATTTAATATATATTAAAAAATATTTAATATATATTAAAAAATATTTATCCTTAAATGGTTACACTGTTGGAAAATATAAATTGTGAAGTTAAATTTCTTTCTTTTTGATATCACTTTTATTATTTTAATCTAAAAGTTCTTTTGTAGAATTGGAGATCTAATTTATCAATTATTACTTTGGAAAGTAATACGTTTACTTAATTTTGATACCAGATTAATTATTCTATCTACTTTAAACTTGTTTATTTTAAGATTAGGGACCTTCAGTATCTATCTATATTTCTTAGATGAAGTATTATGTACACTATTTACATTATTCGGACTATTGTCCTCATCTTTGTTGTCATATTTATCGCAACCTTTCGGCCGTTATACTCTCCGGCCATCTTCAGGTGGTTGGAATGTCTAACTGAGACTTTTCTAGTTCCATGTGCCGTGTCTAATGGATGTCAGTTATTAGTTATCTCCTGTTAATTCCCCTCTCCAAGTTCTCCACCGCCTTAACCAGGTATTGAACTCACACTCTTTGGGTCCTGTCACTGGATCTAACAAACGTCTTTATCCACTGTGCGCACGTGTTTCTACCACAGTGAGCGAAATAAAGGGTTCAGTTCGACATTCCAACCACCTGAAGAAGGCCGGAGCGTACAACGGCCGAAACGTTGTGATAAATATGGCAACAAAGATGAGGACAATAGTCCGAATAATGTAAATAGTATTAGGGACCTTATTAATCAATCAGACATCGTAGCTTTTAAAGAAAATATATTTGCTTCGATTTAATAAGCTGTTTCGTTATTCTATCTGTTCTAAATATGTTTTATAGCCTCGTATATACTTTTCATTACAAATATTAGGTCGTTATGTTCTACGAGTGTTAAAGAAGGGAAAAATAAAATTAAAAATTTGGTTTCTGATTCACACTGCTCGCTTTAACGATCGTACAATGCAACTCATCAAAATAAATTATGGATGAATATGCTTCTAAGAAAGTTTGGTTGACGCATGAATGATCCCTGTAACATTAAATAACACTTTTGTGCTGACTGCTGTTGATTTGAACAAGCCTTGGTAGAAAAAGATAATTCTACTACTAAGATAAACCAGTGAACTTGAGCACAATTCGCTCTATGGAGTGATTTTGCACGGTTATGAAGATGAACTTGAGCCATGTAAATTGTGCATGCTTGCTACTTGGGTGTTTGTCTATGAATACAGAAATATTTGTACATGTAAGTGCTTTGAATTTATTACAGTTTGCTTGTGCGAATTTGCTTGTTTTAAGTCAAACGTTTGTTCCGCTCTCAAACGATGACATCTAGCTGTACGCGTTTATGCACTGACGGATGTGCAGTTTAGTTGCGGTTCTTTCTGTTTTTGATTCACTCTGTTGACATTCTTACGAGCCAAGAGGTATACATTTCTTTCAATGTTTATCTTTGAAAGCATGTTTTATGCATTTTAAACAAACTCTCTTTTTCATTCGCCGATCACACACACATGCACACGTCTGAGGGAACTAAGGTATTAAACATCGATAAATTGGGACTATCAGGTCGATTCGGGGCATAGATATATCAACAGACAGTACTACTCCAAGTTTTGTGGTCATAAAAAAACAGTAACAAAAAAAAAAAAAATGGTGAGAACGATTAACAGAAACATTAGAAAATGGTTGAAATTACCAAAAAGACCGTGTAGTGCAGATTTTCAGCAGTCTGAAAGAAGAATTTGTTTAAAACCCGGACAAGAGAAGTTCAAGTATATAGAGACTCACGGGACATTAAAATAAAAACAGCACGAATACGAACCCGGACTAGAAGAAAATGGCGTGCGCTCCCAGAGAACTATATGACGTGGAAGAAGACCTAAGGTATTTTGCATTAGGGAAGACGATAGCAAAGGAGAAAACATGTCTAGGGCAGTTTTCTTACCTACCCCCCAATTAAATAAGGCTAAAGGCAGGGAAAGACGCTAGCTCATCCAGGAAGAAGTGCGAAGGGAAACAGAGGAACTATGGTACTGTAAAATGGTAGGAATAAGCAAGCAAAGGACGGTAAGTGCGATGCTGAGATCCGAAGACGTATTGGGATGAGCGAAGACACATTCCAAAAGCTAGGGTGAGTATTACAAGACAGGATGATTTTGTTGGTAGCAAAGAAAAGAGTACTGAATTGCTACGTGATATCTGTCCTTCTTTACGGTAGCGAATGTTGGACGGTTTCCTCAAAGAAAGGAGTCAAAACAAAGGAGGTATGTTTCTATAGAGAGATGCTAAGGATACCATGGACAGAATATGTGAGCAACGAATAAGTTTTGGAGAGAATGCGTAAGAGACTCGCACATGAAAGAAGAAGACGAAGTAAGAAACGAGGATAAAAGAGCTGGGAAGGAACAGAAGGAAAGAGCAAATGGTCACATTCGGGGTGAGCCGACTTTAACGACTTTTAACTTTTTTTTTAAAACTTTTTTATTTGGTCCAATTTGTATACGACACTTTACTAAGACAGGCAAATTACATACATGGAGACCCCAGAATGTCCACAAAGAAAGGGTCTATACAGCATATATTAAATAGCTACACTTTAGCCGACGAATGTTATCAGTGGAGACACGACGAAGTACTAAAAGCGATAGCTGACGCAGCTAGCACAATCATTAGAAAGAGCAGAGATGAAACATCAATGAGAGCAAATAAAGTCAAATTTGTCGGAGCAAATAAGCAAGTTCAAAGAAGGGAAAAACCTCGTCTGCTATTTTCAGCTCCAGCCTGACAGCTAGAAGTGGATTTAAAAAAGCAATTAAAATCTCCTAAACAAATTGCAGAAATAGCACTTTCGCCAAAATCTGATAATCTTCTCCAACAGCAATAAACAGATAATAACATGGGAGCTGAACGTGCCTTGGGAAGAGTTTATGATACTCGCTACCGAAAGGAAATGTGATAAGTATCAACAACTGGTCGAACAATGTTAAGAAAACGAGTAGAAAACATAAACGAATCAATGGAGATTTGTAGGAAAATCTGTGCGCAAGGCTTTAACAGAAATTGGAAGCAGAAGATTAGTACAAAGGGAAGTTCTGAAAGAAATAAATGAAGCGGTCGAAAAATCATCCAGATGGATCTGGCTCAAAAGATCTCAAACATGGAATAAAACAGAATAGGAATATTACGAATGAAAGTCGCAGAACTAATAGAACAAGAAGGAAAAACGAAAAAAGAACAACAAAAAAAAAAAAAACGATATTTTGATATTAGTTGTAAGTAAACAGTTCCATTTAAATAAGGACTTAGCCAAAGTATGAAAAAGAAGTAATTTATAAAGAAATAATATATAAATATAGACATAAAAGCTAGACAAATAAACTGGAATCGGGGTTTCTTTTCAGCCGCTTAAAATATATAAATAATTAAGAGAATCATTAGAATAAATTCCTTTTTCATTTAAAACATAGACTAACGAGATTAGATTTATGTTTTAAATATTTATTTTAATTTTTTGTTAATTCTTCACCCGGTCTTCATAAATAATAACGAGATAATGGTGAATATTATCTTCAAATATAAAGTTAAAACTCGGGTATAAAATTAAGGAAAGAAAAGTAAAGAGAGATAGAACACTGCAAATAACGATTTATCACACTAAAGAAGGTGAATAACTCCAAATAACTTCTGAAGGTTTATTTATTGTATTTAAAATACAATTGGGGCACAAGGCCGAAGGAGAAGTGAGTAGGGTTGGTCGTTACTAACTATCCTATACCCAGCTCAGT